AGTTCAGTAAAACAGGAAGGTTTCAGTTCATCTGGTCAAGGGGAATAAATATGGAGATTGGCTGTAACATGGGGTTGGAAACAGGAGCACATTGTTGGCAAGCTGTCTTCTACACGGTGTCCGATAGGAAAAATAATCTAAAAGGATATGACAAAAAGCTAAATAGGCCTATGAGAGGGTACGGTTTTCATTCATTGGCCAAGCAACCGATGAAAATCAGGAGCTGCCCAAGTCGTACGAAAACACCACAAATCACTATTGGTGTGCTACTTCTCGGTGAGCATGCAGTGCACTTAAACAACATTGAACGAGACTACCCTTTGTATCAATGTTTGTCTCGTCGTTACTGATCGTCAGTCAAACGAAAGGCCCAAATTCTAGGAGAGCGTACTCGAGCGATTTCGGAAAAGTGCGGTCTCAGCCACTGATGTTGCGATGACACGGCCATTAAGACAGAGAGCTGAAATAGTTGTTAGCTCAGCTAAGGAATCTACTCAGAGGACAGTCCTTATGAATATTGTGAGTAATGCGAAGTGGGCGGTTGACATAAATTTTTTTCGGGCGATAGCTTCCGAGATAACGGATAGGGACTGTGATTTGACTGTAAGGTAACCCATGAACTCAGCAGAAAGTCGAAACTATGGTTTGCCTGGGGTCCCTGGGACCCCGCTGTTAGCTCCGATCAACGAACTGTGCATAAGAAAAGCAGTGAAAATGTGCCAGCTATGCCTTCCGGCATTTAAGGCGTAGTAAGCTGCTTATATTTTATCTCAGTGTGGTCACTTCAGGAAACAAAGAAGACGAATGTGCGTGTAATATATGGCAGATGAAGTGGACCTGAAGTAATCTGATGCCAAATCGGGCAAAGCCGTGCACGTCTATTTTAGCCGTGAGCCTCGCAATGTACCTTCAAGTAACTCGATGAATTTTCAAATCAAACAGTTTTCCTTCGTTTTTTGTGACCACAGGGACTAGTCCAGACCAGCAGCCGCAGACGATCAACACCATAATGTTTAACAAAATTCCTGAGTTATGGCCAGAGTCAGAACCGCCAACGGTGAGCGGTGTGTCCATGCTACAAGACCGGTGGCTAGCATACAAACGTACTGCAGTGCAGCGTAAAAAACGCTCCCTGCGGCGTGTGTCGGTCCACTACACAATATTTTCACCTCTCGTATACGCTACCAGATCTGTGGGGTGAAAAGCCAGCGACCAGCCGAAATTGTGGCATGTTCATTAAAAAACCTTCAGCTGAAAGATATTTTATACGGTCCGTTCCCACAAGCAAAACAACTATAATCCACTGGACCCTTTGTGGAAGAAAATGAAATTCTAGCTTCCATTTGGGCCATCAGAGTGGGATGGAGATGCTAAGAATATGTGCAACATAGCTGAACGACGATAACCGTTATTGTGAACCGCTGTATCAAGCGAAGACGCCCCGCACTATTGTGTGTGGTTGAACTGGCTGTAAAACCATGCAATAATTTCATTTTTTGCGCATCCTCAGAAAAACTTTTTGTTGCGAGTGCGCTGCACGTGATCATAAGTTACGTAATGCTTCTGAAGACTTAAGAAAAAATGCTCTGATTTGCTCACTGTTAGAACTTGACGGAGCGAAGCACCAGATATAACGACGGGACCCGACTCAAAAGGATAGTGTATAAATCTTCTGGGCACAGAAACTTAAGTCTGAGTGTGAGAAAATATAACGATGTCAGTGGAGACGGGCATGGAAAAATACGTTGACAGGCGCTCTACACAAAGCGGCATATCTGCATTTCTGAGAGCAGGTGCGGAAATTAATTCTCAAGCAAAAGTGATAAGTAGGTGGGTCAATAATGGCCTAGAACACCCGAGGGAAGTCATCTCACGTGGGACTTACGCTAGCGGGTTGCAGCTGTTTAATGTACCTACTTGCACCTAGTAGCAGGACAGTGGAGTAGAAGCACAACTCAGGAGGGCTTAGGGTCTATCGATCAACGTGTCTAGTGTAGGCTGTGTCGCAAAAAGTCTCTCAGCACCCTCAAGAGAAAGATAAGAATCAAGGCTGTTTCAAAATTCTAGATAAGAGGATATGGTACGGATGTGCGAGGAGCTTGTTATCTAGTTTTGAATACGAGCAAAGAGATAAATCATCTAAAGCAGTTCGACGGTTCGATAGGGCAGCAAGGAAGCCCAAAGTAGCAGCCAGTCAAGTAAGCCCAGCGGTAGATCGAGCGATGCAGAAGGCCTGGGTTTAACCTAATGCGTCTCAGCCATAAATGACCCGACCCAAGTGACAAGCAACTAAGTCGATATGGTAATGAGGATGACGTCGAGAACAAGGATCTAGTAAATGAGCGCTCCACATTCTCTGACACATTCTCCGACATGTCTTTGAATACTGTGGGGCGGAGTTGGGACTGGATGCCAAAAGGGGTGCACGAAACTGCCTCAAAATGTCAGTTAAACATGGATTGCCATGGATAGATAAGCAAATGAAAGCCCAGAGCTTGCGAGCTTCAGCCACACCGTATCACGCATGTTGGGAGAAATTAGACCCGCAGGGGTAGCTAAGGCCTATATTTCTCACGCCGGGACGACTGGAAATTGATAGTCTATTAGGAATGAGCGTCCAGTGTGGAATTAATGGGAGAAGCTTGGTGCTTTAGGACGGCGCAAGAAAGACCTTAGTCAGGGGACCATAGGGATAGAAAATCCAGAGGAGCGTGAATATTAGCCAGAATGGAAGCTATCACTGGCACTGGATATAAAAGCTAACATTTTGTTGTCAGTGAATAGAGAAATAGATCCATGAGTGGTCCACTCGGTGACATCATCAATGTACAGCGAGAACAACAAGGGGCCAGGCACGCTGCCCTGGATAACTTAACTGCTGCTGAGATGTAATGAATAGGAAAGGTCCCCGAATTTATTTACCTGGGTTTTCCCACTGCAAACCATTCGGCTATCCTTGAGGAAGCAAAATAAAGTTCGACATCCATTTGTCCCTGTTGACGTCTCTTTCATTCACAAGAATGAATCATTGTCACCCAACCCCGGGCTCAACATCCCCGCAGAATTTTTCTGCGGTTATTGATGGCAGGTAAAGTTGTGGTCCCAGCAACCAATCGAAAGTATTCAAGGTAGTCATTCGCTCTGATTTTAATTTTGTAGTTCCAAACAACAGTTACCCCGTTGGGTGCAATTAAAAGTGTTGCATCACAATTATGTTATGCAACGACCGATAACGTTTGGTCCTGAAGGTGATGTTTGCTGACTGGCGACTTATGTTAAGTGAGGTAACCCCGCTCACCGCTAAGCCGCAGTGAACGAACTTTGTTTTGACGGGTATGCTGTATCACTGAAGATACATCAGCGGACTTGGCTTACCCTAGCCCGTCAAACTGAGCGCCCATTGGAGTGTATACGCCGCAGTCATAATCCAACTTGCCTTCTTGCACCAGTCACGGCCCATACATTACAACTATGGGGACCGCGACTGTGGGATTACCGATGGGATTCTGGAGGCTCGCCAACTCCTAGTTACTAGTCACACATGCCACCAAATTTGCTGCGAGCAATGCTCAAAGGCATTTGATAAAAGGCGCACACCTTAGGCGGGCTAAACACAGAACCATTCAAATAATAATTAACTAAATTATCTAAACTCCCGCCAAATTATCCGGTCCACCAGGTTCACCCAAGGAAAAAAGATCCTTATCCTAATGGAGTCCGGAGCTCGGTAAAGCTCCGTGTGTTTCAGAGGTCTATCTCGTTGTCCACTCTATTTTTCACCGTAAGTCTTCCTTCTTTTCGGAGACGGGAAAGTATATACTATGTGCATAAGCAAGTGAACCGACACAACTCTACCAACCATGGGCCGATGGGTCCGGTATCAAATAGACAAATGCTGAACACTGTTAGTTGAAATTTTGCGCTCCATTCCCACATAACTTGGCCTGCTGAATTCGTCACAACAAGTTTGCCACCCGTCTGCTTCTGTTCAACTATATTTCAACCCGCCACACCGACTGTTCCACATCTACTAAAACTAATCAGGAGGTGGCGTAAACTTCGTTGGATTTTCCTATGTATCTAACACGTTCTCACATGGCACAATTAAGGATCGCTGGAAATGTTTAGATACATTCCGTCCGATATCCACCCGGTTGAACGTGCTCACTTGTGCTCGATACTCTAGGGTATGGGTCTTCGTGGCAGCTGTCCGTTCATTCAATACATCAGGTCGGATTGCTAAACTTAGACACTCGAGCAACGCTATTTATCGCTTCCATTATCACGCTTCCGTTTGTCTATCTAATGTAGACTGGCTGTCAGCTCGCTGATGACCCAAATGTATGGTATACGGGCACATAGCTTTTCTTCTGTGGCAAGCGACGCCTGTTTCTAACGGTACAGGATCATCTGCCTTCAAAACATCACTTGCATTACAGTGCACTCACCATTTAGCAGAGATGCAGAGGATCTTTGCTGCACAATAAGACTAAATGAGTTCAAATGGTACTTCCTACCTACTATGCGTGTTAAAACAGCAATTTGCATTTTGATGTAGTAGCGGTCATTTTGCTTTCATGAGAACAAACTTTGTATATAAGGTAAATATTCCCATTCTTATAAGCTGAACTAGAACTGGACAATGTGTTTTAGCACGCTACGGCTGTGCTATGTCCTTGTACACCACTATGAATTATGACGCTAAATGATGGTCGGGGGAATGTCTTGATTCACTCTCTGTTCAGTCCTTACCTTACCGTGGTCCTTGCATTTGTTCTTTTTTACTGTGCGGATATTTTTTTGAAACATGGATTTGACGCCTTTAAGAGAATTTCGACCAGCAAAACCGCTTTTGCGCGGCTGCGGAATTATTCACTTTCGGTCTTTCACGCATTGGCTTCGGGTTTTGGTGCCTTGATTTGGTAAATCAATTATATAACACTCTCAACTTGAAGCTTACTCGTATGTGAGGATTTTCTCAAAGATATCATCACAGCTGAAAATGAAATAGCATATCATATAATAGGATTCTCTACAGGTAGTCAGTTTTGTGTGCCGTATATAATTCAGGATACTTCTTTCATGACATTTACCATAACATATGCACCGGAATATGCTCAAGGTCTCTGGAAATCATCATCCACCATATCACGGTAATTAAAATCTTTCCACAGAACGTGTCGATTATTTAAGGTGGTGACTAGCTTCCTGATCGTGATTCAATATCGAATTCTTGTACCTTACGCACTTTTTGGATTGCTGATGGAGCTTAACAGCATCTTCCTACATGGTCGACATATAATGCTGTATTTTGATATCGACCCAAATTCCGTTGTTTATCAGACAAATTTCAAAGCTAATATAGGTAAGTTTCATTGCACTTAGAAATGATTTCACTTGTAAGCTACACGTTGCAAGCATAGGATTGAGTAAACCGATTAGGAACTGATCGGTTACTTTAAAATACTTACCACATTTAACCCGCAACCAATACTGGTAGCTTTACCAGGCTGAAACACTTGGTGTAACTTCTGGGGAACTCAAAAAGTATGACGCAGGCGGGCAACATGAGAATCAATCGACTAGGAGGACCAGCAGAAATGCCAACACCAGTACTGATGTCAACAAACTATTGGTGGAAATTCAGCCACATTAGAAATATTTATTGCTTACCCCGATGATGATTTCCATAAAGAAAGCAGTCAGATAAATCTAAACCTCGTTCAAAACTCCTATCGTCAGTATGCTGATTACACTTGCACACTATTTTGGGGTTCCAGATACAAAACAACCATGATAACGCGGAACGAAGACGTATCCAACAGGTTGGCATAATGCCCTGCACATCAAACAGCGTGGGAGGCTTTTAGGGGTTATTTATTGTTTTTTTTTTAATTTGTTGATTATTTATGACACTGTTTAGTATAGAGACAATGTCCACAAACAGCAGTTTCCCGAACTTTCCACGAATTGCATTGCATCTAGTTCGAAAGTAATTTCGAACCCTATAATTTATGCAATCCCACCTAGATGTTAGAAAATTTTCACCGTTTTGTGGAACGAAACTCGGAGAGAATACGCGGTGTACTGGGCCTGAATTTGGCTCTGTCGCATCCTTAATGGCTTTATGAAAACAGGTCACTTCCATAGATAATTTGTTGTTATGACACTGTTTAGTATAGAGACAATGTCCACAAACAGCAGTTTCCCGAACTTTCCACGAATTGCATTGCATCTAGTTCGAAAGTAATTTCGAACCCTATAATTTATGCAATCCCACCTAGATGTTAGAAAATTTTCACCGTTTTGTGGAACGAAACTCGGAGAGAATACGCGGTGTACTGGGCCTGAATTTGGCTCTGTCGCATCCTTAATGGCTTTATGAAAACAGGTCACTTCCATAGAGATTGTTGTTTTACCCAGTTATACAAAAACGTTTATGCTTCGACCTAGTTCATTCTGGAAAATTTGCGGATGGTTAACTTCTATATATCAGCAAACATATTTTCCATGAGAGCGATTTAGTGGGCACTTTGTCATAATGGGCAAGCTAACTGATACGTCAGAATCATGAAATGTCCACAGATGTGCCCTCAGATATTCCACAATTCTCAACCTACCGCGACTTGTTTATTTCGATGTTTTGGCATACCACATTACCCACCAGGGCGACTCAAAAGAATATTTAATTTCGTGGATGAACAGTTGGTACCGCGATAGGACTGTGGAAGTTAACCAATGTCTCCAAGCAGTAGCAAGCTAGGTTTCCCTGAATAAAGTTGGTTCTTCGACTCAAGAGCTAAACAGAGTTTTTTCGTAATTTAACTGAGCCTGTCTAGCGACGCTATCATAGTTCGCTTAATTGTTTGGTCATGAGTCATTTTTCGAGATTCGGTGGCATAGGGCGGTGTTTACTTCCCACTTGCTATATTTTGCTATGTTTTGATTATAATGAATGATAAGCATACTTTTAATACTTTTTGTTTTAAAGCATCTCGAAATTCTGTTTTCTATCAAAATTAAAGTTTATCTGTGGTTTCATTGAAACCACTCTTAGTTCCATTGTTTTATATTATTCCAACACCTGACTAACAACGCATTTATTTAGAAGATCATGGTCTATGGACGTCTAGTAACTCATATGAAGCATGGAATAGTTGTATTATTACTATCTATTTTGTTTTGCTTTATAAAACCCACCGATAGCTTTTAAGCCTCGAATTTTTCTTCAGCATCCCAAATTTTTTAAAGCTTGACTGAATCTGACCTCACCAGGTCAACACCAGGTGATTTCAAGTGATATACTAGGTTTTCAGTGACACTGATAAGGTTGGTGGTTAAAGTCAATAATCTGTGTTTGCGTCATCTAACAGTGTGTCATATATGTTTTTCACTTGTTTTTTAAATCCCGTTAATTCGCTTCTTAGTATTAAACCAGGAGGAACGTAACAATACGCTAGAAAATGTCTATAAGGAGACTGAACTCAAATTAATGACAAGAATTTGGGGATTGCTAGAAAGTGTGTCATGATATTTAACTGACTAGAAAAAGAAAAGCTCTCCTTAAAGCAAGTACCATGCTGTGTTAGCAAATACTGCATACTGTGTAAGGTTGGCATTAAAAATAGAAGTCAGCATCGCAATCAGGAACACCTAAATGACTTAATCTGGTCTTCATGACAAGCTTCTTGGCGTCTTCTTTTAAGTTATGTACATCTAAGCCCCTTCCTCTGGTTACTAAGTACGTATTGTGAGAAATTAAATATTATGTCATGGATAAAATACATAGTGTGCACCGTCTTTTTACGGAAGATTCATAGTATAAAGCCTGTCATCAAAAAATACCAAGCAACTAGAGATAATGAAGCAAGTTATTTGGCAAGTGGATAAAAACGACTACTCACGCTGATCCACGAAATATGTGACTAAAAATACAATAGTGTAATTTACTAGTTTCAACCGGATAATTTCTGTTGTCATTTCTAACGTTTGTTAGATGAATAGCCACAGTGAATTAGTTGGCTGAAGATTACTGCGTGTCACTGGGGAACCTCTTCACCTATAATAAGATGAACATTAGTGAAGAGAAGATTTTGCTCTAAAAGCAAAATTTATTTAAAGCCATGCGTGAGATACAGAAGAAATAAACTTCAAAGCTATTTGAATAATAGTCATTTATGTTCAACCACGGGAGCTTGGTACACAGTCTGCCTTCAAGCATCCGCATTGAGAATGTGACTTGATCAGGATTGACAATATCCTAATGTAAGAATTGTTACCTTTTTTAAATAAGTGGTGAGATCGGAAAAATAATTTGCCAAATGCATTTTGTCTGAATTAGTACACGTAGAAGTAGAAAGCGCTCGGCAAGAATGGCATGCTTTATTACTGTAAATGAACCTAAATGCAAAATACAGCTATATATTAAAAGAGAACTACCTGATATAACAAAAGCTATGCGCAAAACAAGTTGCGGTTACTCAAAAGTCTATAACATCATCTTTCATGGGAAGCTACTTCATTTACGTTGTGCACACATAACATTCGACAATGTTACACGCGTTTGATGTACCCCAACTCACAACTATATTGACTGTAAGGCAGCTAAGCAAACCAAATCATGAAACGAACAAGTTACTAGATAAATTGGCCGCAGAATTAGTTCTGTGCTAACTAAATTTTTACGTAAGCCATAAGGGCGCAGACGGAATGAAATCCGCTATTCATATTTTTAAGTATATCTTTATGTATGGAATAAAATATGTCATGCAAATGAAATTTTGAATATGAAGCAGACAGAAAATTTCATATTTCCGGGGTGCAAGTAATTTGACAAAATCAACCGGAATACACCATTGCAAAAGGCCACTCTGAAGAATATGGTAGAAATAAAACCAATTCACCCTGAAATTTTGTTTGACGTAATAAACAGTGATAAGTACGGGGATGTATAAGGTAGAACATGGATGCATCCGACGAAAATATTTAAAACTATTGAGGTGGCGCTTTTGATCATACAGTTTTTCCCTAAAATATTACAGATTAACAATACCTGCTGAAAAACTTGTTCGAGACAGAGGCTTTTTTTCCGAGATGAAACGCCTGCAAGGCAAGATAATCGAGGCCAAAAATTAATAAAACAGAGCAGTAGATGTTTTTAACTGGAGACAAGTCATCCATGTTCAACCCTTGTTTGTGCAATAAAAGTCAAACTTTAGTGCCTTAAATTATAAAAACATCCACTGCAGATTATAGAATATTACGGTTTACCTCAGCTGTTTGTCCAAACTACCCATTAGTAAACCAGTTACCTACGAAGAATAGGTAGGCCAGCATATGGATAAATTTAAGTAATTATAAAACGAGCCAATTAAAGAAGGAAAAGATACGGTAATCAAAAGTTAGGGTGGTAAATTTTTATACTTAAAAGGAGCCAAAAGGTTGGATGCAACTTTCGTTAAATTCTGATAAATGGTGCAAAAATAGCTCGAAGTTATTTCTCGGGTAAAGCTAGGACAAAAACCAAAATGCTTGCTTACCATGAAGTCACCTAAAACACTCCACAGAATTTCGCTTCGTACAAAAATCCGTTTGATCGACCCTATCTTTGGCGGTAGTTTGTCATGAGATGTTTTGGGGGCAACTTGGAGTAACAATTCCAGCCGCAGATAACAAGCCGTAAAATCCTGTTAGTAAAACTGAGGGTTCTCTTTCTGAAAGAAAAATGGTAGAAAATCTGGGCAATTATCCCGGGATATTTTCTGAAAAAATGTGAGGCAGAATCCAAAACATAGATATGTGATACTGTAGAAAAGACAAAATTGACAAGACTCCCTGTGACAATGGTGAATGGTTTAAAAGTAGTTTTTTTATTTTCGGCCTATTTACAGTGATGCTGAAGCGGTCAAATTGGCTTCTTCTTGAGGATCGAAATTGCTGGAAGATTTGAGTGAATATAGATCAAAGACTGCAGACGTAAAAGTAGAAATGCCTATTTGTTTGTCTTTCTAAGGTCTAGATTTGAAGACAATGTGACACCAGAAATCAACTAGCTCAAAGCATATTCAGTGAAAGACAAATCAGAAATGACTGTCAAGCCGTACACAAAAGTGTCACAGAATGTTGCCAGGACGCCAGATAACGATAGGCTTGAATGTTATTAGGAAGATAGGTTAAATATTTTACAACAAAATTTTTCGTGCTACTCACTGCGTGACAAAATGAAATACGTGTTTGAACCATCAGCATTCATGTATGAGTAGTGCTATTACTCCAGTTCCCACTAAAAGCAAAGTTGACTTTATCCGGATTGTTTGTGTTGCGTACTTTGATCAAAAGAGTGCAACCAAATAATGGGTTTTTGCT